GAACTCAGCAAACCAATAACTAGAGTCAGAAAAGAAATAATCAAAAGCAGAAAACTAGTAATTGAAATCAGAAAACCAATAGCCAAAACAGAAAACCAATAATGGAAGTATGAAAACCAGATCAAGGTCACAAAACCTAGTCAAAATTAGAAAATGAACAGTCAAAGGCAGAAAACCAATAGTGAAAAGGAGCAATAAGTGAATAGCAGAACTGAAAAAAAAATATTTAAACACCCTAAATTTATAAAGAAAATGAAAAGCTGATAATCAGTAGAGAGACCATAATAAGTGAAGCTGAAAAAACATACAGTGAAATCTTGTAATTAATACACAAGAGCAGAAAACCAATAACGAACAGCCCTGAAATGAAGAACAAAATCTGATATGGTAGATATGTAAAGTGATAATAGAGCCACAAAACTGACAAGCCTGGACCAAAACACGATAAACAAGAACTGAAAACCAAAGACGGAAAACTGAAGATTGAAACCTGAAAAACAATGATAGCTACCTAAAAATGTGAAGAGAGAAACCCAAGAGATACTAACATTTGGCTGTTCTTTGAAAATGGAAATTTTCATGAAAAGATTCTGATTTTGTCAGTTTTCCATTTTTCAGCGAAACTTTTATTTTCCATTTCTCCACACTGTCACTATGAAATAATCTGACAGCTAATGGTGGGTACTAAATAATTAACAGCTGGCAGCCAATAGTGACTAACAAGTAACCAATAATTGGCAGCTATTAATGAAGATAAAATTACCAATTATAGAAGTTAATTGGCCATGCGAAGTAAAAGGCCTAACACACAACTCAATGACATTTCTCTTTGTCTGTCTGTATCATGATAACTTTTTGAGACCACATCATGATCAATTCTGAAATTTCAGGGGACGTGCTAGACATCAATGAGGAGAACCCCACTGATTCGGGAGGAAATCGGAAACCTGAAAAAGTCCAATTTCCATTTAGATCTGGTGACTAGCATCAGCAGCCAATGAGCCAACCACTCTGTTGAACGGAGGTAGCAGGATCTTCTGGGTGCTGAGCTGGGAGAATGGAGGTGACACAGAGCCTCTAGCGTGGGGGGATGGAGAATGGAAGCACATAGACCCCTGGTATGTGGGGAGGGGCACACAGAGGTAGGGCTGGGGGATGGGACATAGGGTCAGGGTTAGAGTTGGTTGGGTAGATTCCAATGGGAAATTTTTCCCATCACAAACACTTCCCTAACGCAGAGCATCATGGTTTGCCCCAGGCTGGTTCCTGCCAATCCAGGCTGAGTGTCTGGGTACAGGGCAGGTGGAGGTGTCTCCTGCCCCATACTCAGCAAATGCAGAGCGCAGGACTGGGCGGCACGGGTCTACTGGGGCGTCGCTTCAAGAGGGCCGAGGTACGGTTGGGCAGGCGTTTCCTTTAACTCTGCAGGCCCTGGTTTGGCTGAGCACGACACTCTGGATGGGCACATGCGGCCCGCCACCAGAAAGCCCTGCTGGAACTGGTCAGTCTTGAGAAATGCTGATTTACTGGGGGGGAAGAGGGGGAGCTCTATCTGGCCCTTGCTCCACCCGCCCCAGCTTTGGGTCACCAAACCCACCAGGTGCCAACAAGAGGCTCCCGACCCTCCCGGCAACCTGAGTCCGCAGGCGCATTGCAGATCATTTAGGGGAGTCAACCAGGACACAGAAATCTCTTCTCCATCTGTAATGACCAACCACCCAGAGCTACAGGGCTAATGAATAAGAGCCACCAGATAATGGTAATTAACCGTGAATACGACAATTGCAAATATTTAATAAATACTCATCACCTGGTACTGTTCAGACTCTCTGCATCTGAAGCCCGGCCTAGCGGAAGATCTCTGGGACTTTCCAACCATCAATAACAGCCCCAAAGCCTATAGACTTCCCCCTCTCCAATCCTAACAGCGCCTGGACTCCTGGGTCCTTCCCAGCAGAGCCAAGGCTGAGAGGTCAGTGTCAGTAGAGCCGTGTGTATCCCCTGCCCCACCCACCTCCAGATAATCTGTCTCCGTCCGCGTAAATGTGCTGGAAATGTTAAAAATCTAGAAAATAATCAAAAGAAAAGGTGAGCGCCCCCTGCCGAGCCCCACATCTCACCCCAGCATGGCCCCCCTCCCATGCCCACTTCTGCTTCCTGCTCCCCGGCGTCCCCTGCTGGGCCTCCTACCATTCCCTGAATCACAGTGCCCCCTGCGAACCCCCCACCTGCTCCCCACTGCACGGTGCCCCCTCCCGAGTCACCCCCACTCCCTGCTCCCCC